CACAAAACTGAGCTGTAACCCATGGGAAGCTGTGAGACATCAGAGCAGCAAGCCATGGTCTGATGTTCACGCTGTGCAATCAACCCTGTGAAACCCATACTGCTGCTACTAAGGCTTCTGCCAGAAAACTCAGCTATGGTCACAGGCATAGTACCTCTCCCAGTTTTAAGGATAAAAGGAGGGAGCACCGTACGACCAGACTCCTGCCCTCAACCTATCGCCCTTGTGCACCACCCACACACATTCAGGGCTAGCCCCTACCCATCCTCCAGGCTACGCTTCCCTCGTGGACATGGCTTCCAGCTGATCTCTGTGCTATGGGAAGTTTTCTGCTGCTTGGCCCCACGGCCTCACACCCTGTCTCTTTGGTGACGCACAGCACATTTACGGGCTGATCCCTTACCCAGGTGGCGATGTATAGGCTGGGGTTTGTGTACTGGACAGCTGGCAGGGGGTCCTGCTCTGTGTCCTCTACAAATGCCAGGGCCAACTCTGCCACTGCCGTCAGCATCAGCAAGGTAGCCAGCACCTGCGGGGAGAGGGGAGCAGCCGTGAGGGGAGACCCAGCCCATCGTGGGCACTGGGAACCACTGGCAGACAACACAGTTAGGCATAAAAGCACGGTGTCCCATACACCGTTAACACCCTTTCCAACCCAAACCTGGCCTGGAAAAGCTTTCTAGGGCCCTGTGAAGCTGGAGCACTGCCATCATTTTAAGCTTGGAGGATAACAGCCCACAAGATGAGAGGTTCCAGTACACACCTCTGCCCTCCCTCCCAGTACATCCCAGCTCTGTTATCCCCTCTGTCCCTGTTATCCCCTCTGCCCGCCCTTTACATTTCAGCCCCATGTGGTGCCCTAGCCCATTGCTCCTTCTCTCCTACACTTCTCATCTCTCCATCCCACACCTGACTCCATCCCAGAGGCTTTCCACTCACCACCCCTCCATCCCAGGCTGCTCCAGCCTGCCCTCTGTGCCCCCTCAGCCCCACTCTACCTGTTTGATGATGTAGAGTTTGGTCACAGATGATTTCTTGGCTCTCGATTTGCACATGGGCAGGAGCTGCCAGGGAGCCAAAATCCAGAAGAAGCCAAGGGGGACCCAGACCAGCACAGTCTGCTGGAAGCACACGGGCAGGTCGGCATCCGGACGAGCAAGGTAGGAGGCATTCTGGGGGCAGCAAGGACAGACGGAAGTCACTTGGGATGGCTTGACCCTCACCTGGCTCACAGCACAAGAGCCAGCACTCCTATAGCTCCTGCCCACCCTCCTCCACCCCATCACACCCCCCTCCTCAACACCCACCTTCCTGGCTGAGCATTTCAGCACTCAGCCAAGGTCCCGTGTGATGTCCCCCTACCCATCTATCTGCCTGAACCTGGGAGGGCCTCCCCCACAACCACCCCTTGCTGGAGCCAAGCCAGTTGCAGCAGCTGGACCCAAATCATTCCCCGAGAGGCCCGTGCAGGGTGTCCTGTGTTCCCAGCTGGGCTGTGGGGCTAAAACAGGACAGGGCTCACTCAGGGAACTGTCATTTGCATCGTTGTCTCGTGGATACCACGCAGGCAGTGCACAGCGCTCAGTGCCGTGGCAGTCCTGGATAAATACCAGAACCTCTGCTGACCGCTGGCAGTTGGGTCCCACTGGCTGAAGAAGTTGTGAGCCTGGGGATCTACTGCTCTCCCCTTCCACTGGGCGTCCTACCCCAAGAACGGGTGATGGGGGTGATGCAGCCACTCACCCAAAAGACGGAGCCGCAGAACTCCTCCAGGGCTGCCGACATGGCTCAAGGGAGAAGAGACAGCGACTCCTTCCCCTCGCTCTGCCTGGCTGCGAGAGTCCTGAGTGGATGCTTGGGTCAAAAGTCCCCACACAACCTCAAGTGGTGTTGGGACAAAATCCCTGATGACACGCAGTTAATTGTTAACTTGGTGCCATTGCACAACACCACAGACCAAAGCAGTGACCAAAAGGGCTTTGGAACTGCCTGGGCTCTGGGGAAGGGAGGAGAGGAAGACCCAAGAAAGAGATCAAAGGGGAGATGCAGGAAAGCCACTGTCACAGAGCCACTGCAGGACACCACAGCCGTTGCTCAGAAACCACAGCCTTTTATCAGTGCACATCAACAGAGACAAGCTCATATGGACCCACTAAAGACATTACTTTGGTGCAACAGACCTTTCCTGCCAGAACAAGCCTGCCAAACGCTGCCAAAAAGTCCAGCAAGGGCTGGTCCCTCAGGAGCCAGAGAAGACAGTACCCTTTTTCTCATGTGCCACCCAGCAAGGAGGCCCAGGACGCCAGCAGTGCTCCACGCCTGGGAACTTGCAGCATCTGGCAGCTGAGCTGACCGCATGCTGCAGTGGTCTTTGTGAGTCCCCGGGATCGGGGTTCCTTTTACCAATTCCTTCTGGCCTGCAGAGCCTGGAGACTTTCACAGCTTTTCCTTTTGCTTCTCCCTTTCCCACATCTCTGTGTTGTCTGCATGTTACGGCAGCTGGCTGACCGCAAAACCCGAAAGAGACTTTGAGTCTTCATTTTAAGGCAACCCCCAACATCTGAGACAGCCAGAGGACCGTTCCTGAGGAGGGCGACTGCCACTAAGTCATCACCCTGCTGCTTAGAAAGATGCAGGTGTGGGGGCAGGTGGGGATGGTGCTACTCTAAGGCTGGAACTGAATATGCTTTATCATGCATGCCCTTGGGGAGCAGTAGGTAAAAGGGGAGAGGAGGGTGACTGCAGGGATTCTGCTGTCTCATTGTTCATGGAGTTAGTAGATAGCTCAGAAGCCAAGGGTGATACAATAAGTAATCGGTCAGGAACAACCCCCTTACCTTCAATACCAGAGAAAGGTTCGATGTCCAACTCATCGGTTAATTATTATTGGCTTGTCTGATTAAATCCACTTGTTTTTGTAAATAAAGCTACCCCTAGTGCTAGGTCCTCCAGGCCAGAACCAATACACTGCTGCTGAGAGCAGCAATCTGATGCAATGGAAAAGAAGTAAGTGAATGGAGCTGTCACTCCCTCAGCCCTTCTCCATCCAGAGTGCTGATGTGATTCTTCTTTCTGCTCGCTGGCACAGGTGTCCTCTGGCCTTCCTCGTACCCACCTGGAGCGCTCCTGCCAAGGGGAACACTTGCTTGTGACACCTTCCTATTTAGTGCTCTGCCCCATCGCTTCTCTCGGTTTTCAGTACGTCACAGCCCATCCTCACCCCATCTTTGGTCTCTCATTCAGAGCTGAAGTGCTTTGCTCAGCACAGGATGCCAGTTATCTTTAATGTTCAAAGCAAGCACACCCCCACTTTCTCTACCCTCGTAACTGGGACATGCTCCTCCTAAAAACCCACAAAGCCACCTCGCTGTCCTTCAGCTCCTTCCATAAAGCTCCCTTCACTACAATACCCAGAAAATATTCACTGGGACCAAGCTAATCAAAGCGGTAAGACCTTTTTGGCCAACAATGCCACACCGCTTCCCTGTGCTTCCCTGCCTTTACCCACCTGTTGTCCACCATCCTATCACTTAAGTTTTCAATATTAGGCCTTGCTTCATGCCTGTCTCGCACAGGGTCTGGTCCAGGACAGAGGCTTCTGCAAGGCAACCTACAAATTAGTCCAGCCCTCACTGCTCATCTCTGTTTCTGAAGGGTTTGTTTCTCTGCTTTGTTATGCTGTAACCCCACATGAGTTCAAAAGCCTTTTTTTCTTTCCTTTTTTTTTTTCTTTTTTTAAACTTTACATGAAAGGAAAGAACCAAACTCTGCGTTTATGATGCTGGGGGCAGGTGTCAGCAGAATATTCACATTAATTGAGCTACCGGTATCTTAATCATCACCGTGACTCATGAAATCTCACAACATAAGCCATGAACTCTTAAATCAGGTATTCTGAACTATATTGACTATAACCACAAATTTAATCATTTCCTCTCCTGAGTTGGATCCTTCCGAGTTTGGATCCTTCCTACTGCCTGCACGTCTGTCAGTGCTGAAGCGGGCTCTGACACCAGCACTAAGCAGCCATCCCCCTCCCAGCTCCTACGCTGAGAACTACCACGTACATTCCTGAGGTGTGTTTTGGGAGACACCGATACCTCTGATGGATCCATGTGAAAAGGCGGATGTACCCTTTGAGCTGAAGGTATGTAGTTAGTCTTGGTTATGGGTTTTCAATGACCTGATTCTGCCTAAGGTGACAAAAGGTGCTGCCACCTTGTCAAATATTACATTTTCCTGTACATCCTCACAGGCTGTATGCTATTGCCAAGACGGGCAGACAGATCTGAACCCTGTTTTTTGCTTCCTAAGAAGGTCCGCTATCTCTGCTGTCAGGGGGATTCTCTTCAGCTTTGTGGATCTTTTAGAGAAGAGCAGGCAGCAAGAATAAAGGTGCTTTATCTCTGAGTCTCTACTCTTTTAATGGACCGCTCTGACGCCATTCAGATCGTTCATTGGATATTTTGCAGGGTAACTGAAATGAGTCTAAGGCTTCAATTCTGACGAGGCAGCAATAACCCCACAGGCACGTTCCCCTGAGCACTGTCTGGAGAACAAGCAGTTTGTGCGTCACGTTGGGAAAAGGACCTGGAAACTCCCTGAGAAAAAGCACCTTGTCCTCCCACGGAATCTCATCATACGCCCATCCCACTTCAAGCACTCACAGCCCACAGCCCAGGATGCCTCACAACTACCTCACCTAATCAGTCAGGTAGTTAGAAGCTCCTTCCCCTTAGAATTTAATGTGTTCATCACCTCTACGTAACAATGTGCTTCTCTCTACCTAGCAGCTGCTGCGCTGCTAATCCCCAGCTAGCCTACTGGGTGACCACAGCAGGCCTTGTTTTCCAGCTGTGGCTATGATGTTTCCCTCCCTGGCATTCTGGATGCGACTGTATTCTCCCCCGGTGCAGTAGGGGCCTGATTAATTCAAGCTATGCAACACAGATCACAGTCTTGCCCGTAAAATATAAATAAATTTTAAAAAAGCACAGCAGGAGGGGGGCAGCTGCAGTGTTTATTTGACAATCACATGCAGTGCTACACAATTCAGTCCCCCTACTTGCTCAGCTCCCTTCCTCCCAAATACTGCCAGACAGCTTGTTGCCGCAACATCTGGGAATGAGTCCTTTTATTTAAAATGGCCAACCTAAGTTTCCAGGCCAGGGACTGGTCATTCAGGGGAAGCCAAGGGAAGAGATGTCAGGCTTCATCACCCAGTTCACATCCTCTGCAGCCTGAGGACGGAAGCGGTACCCGTCTGTCCATGTGGCAGGGAAGACCCTGGAGTCTCAGCGCTCTTGTCCCAGCACGGTGCCTTCCACTACAGAATGTTCTTTGCGATCGCGTTCAGGGTCCTCACTTTGGCCACATCTGCCACCTTTATGGAGTATTCAGGGGCAGAGAAGGACGCTCCCATGGCAACGTTCGGATTTCTGTCAGGAAAACCACCGGTTACTATCTGCAGGTGACACAGATGAGTAAGGCACGCTAGGAAAAACCCACTGTCTCCCCTAGTCTCAGCAGTGGCCAGAGAACCTGCTGGTGCCACCCAAACCAAAGATGAGACAGTAATAGAAAGAAGACTCATCCAAAGGCAAGAAACAACAGCATCAACAGAAACCCAGTGCAGACCTGTGGACAGATGTACGCCACTCCTCCCTCATTCCTCAGAGGCACATCCCACTGGCCTCCCACATCCTACACGCTTCTGTTAAAGGTCTAAGGCAACGACACCGGAACCTGCCTTCCCGAGTGCCACACAAGTGCGCTCACAAGCCCTATAGGGCAGCAGCAGCAGAACGCATGCCCCAAGGATCCGGTTCTGCATGGAGCTCGTGTCCAGATGATGAGCACCGCTGGATTCATACACTGCAGAATACAGAGCCAGGCATCATGATCCCAACCACAAGAGCGCAATTAGCACCCAGGAAGCTGTTTGAAATTTAGGCCTGTTCTACAAACTCATCTTCACATTAATCCAGCTTTTCCCTTGTACAGTTTTGCTAAAAAATAAAAATAAATGACCGGTTACCTGAACTTCATCCCCGAGTCCCGGGCTGAGCGAGCAGAGCAGTGAAATTCAGAAGCAGTGGAGCCTTCCAGAATCCTCTGCAGGTTGCGCTCCGTGATGCCACCCCCTGGCGGGAAGAATCCCGACGTCACACACAGCGCAGATGGCACTGTCCCAGACCTGACATCACCCCGGGACCTACCCCCCAGGGGACAAGCGCCATCTACACTGAAGGGAAAAGACAGCCCTTGGGACAACAGAGACCCGGGCACATGGAAAGAGGCCGGAGAAGCCTTGGCTCATGTTCTCCCGCAGATCTAGAGCTGTCCCCAAATCCACCAGTGAGCAGCAGCTGCAGGGCTCTGCCATATGCCGCCATACCCAGCTGGCTGCATGGCCTTTACTCGTGCCAGGGCAGGAGCTCCTTCTCCTGGGGACCTGGCTCGGAAAGCCAGATGAGACAGCACATCCCAGGGCAAGAGGCTAGGAAGCAGGGGCTAGGGACTACAGGACCTGTTACAGATGACAAAAAACCATTACCTGGCACCACCACAATTCTGCCCTTCGCCTGAAAGAATAACAACATGTTACTGATATTGCTCAGCACTACATCCGCATATGCATTTGTGGGGAGGCAAAGAAGCCTTACACGCAGCACCTTCCAGAAGCTCATGGAGGTCACCATGACTTAGGATTCGTTCACTCTCACCCACCTTTTTTGTACTATTCATGTTTTAAAAGGAAAAGTGGAAAAGAATTTGCAGTTACAGCTAAGACAGCTTGTCACCATTTCCTCCTACCTCTCTATCCCACCTAGCTGCCTCTCAGGTACGTCTGTTGCATTTTCCTAACAGCAACTGTGAGACCCCAGCAGGGACCTCACTTTGCTGTTTACGTGGGCTAATCACATCAGCTGCTGAAACCAACTCTTACCGCCCGCCTCCCAGTCTGCGAGCAAGAACAACCCAGCAAGTCTTTGCTGTGAGAGGCTTCCCCAGCCCACGTGGACTTGGGAAAACAAACTGAAGCCAAGCCAGACAAGAAGGGCAAGTGCTCCTCGACAGAAGTTCCCTTACAGAAATGAGGCCTAGCGTAAGGCAGCTGCCTCCAGGCAATGCCCAGGAAGCAGCCACAGTAACCCAGGGGAGCACAGAGAACACTTACCTGTTCCGCAAGCCTCTTAATTAAGGACAATCCTTCCAGCGCTGAGCTGTCACAGCCACTCGTCAACACCCGCTCAAACCCCAGAGAAATCAGGGTCTCCAATGCCACCAGAGGGTCGTGCACCATGTCGAAGGCTGAGAGACCAACACAACAGCTCAGAAATCACTCAGCAAATCGTGCTCAAGCCCTGTCCCGCAGCCAGCTCAGGAGCCCAGGAGACAATGACGGAAAGGGTCCTTCTCACAGCTGGCCACCCCCGTGGGGAGCCACAGCTCCTGACTGTAATGTCTCCCCCCCCCCAGCAGTGGCAGGGCCACCGTGCTCAGCTCCTCAGACACCTCCTCTCCACACAGGGCAGCGACACATCCTCCAAGCCTGGACCCCCTGGACCTTTCCCCTCCGGGGAGAACAGCCCAGCCACAGCCCGCTCTTGCACAGCATACAGAGCTTTCCCCCCTCCAAAGAACAACCAAAGTTCATTAAGCTCAGCTCCCTCCCAGCCCCACCTTCCCCAGGCAGCGGGGTCCCTGCCAGGGCCACTGTCCCAGGCGACTCACCTCGGTGAAATGTGACTGGCAGGGGACGGCACACAGCTGCAATAAGAAGACATATGGTCAGTCGGGGCTGGCACAGAGTCGCTTGTGCTAGAACCAGAAAAGCACATGAGATGAAAGAGGGCAAAGGCTTCTCGGGCCATTCCTGAGGAGCTCAGAAGACTCCCAGTACTTGCTGGAAACAACACAGCTGCTTCTCTGAGGCCAGGCTCTTTGGTGGGGAAGAGTTCTTCTGCCCTTTGAGGAAGCAACAAACCTTTTGTTTTTATGACTAACACCAAAATCCCCCATCTCATCTGGATCATGCAGAACCCTCATTCCCAGCAGAGATGTCTTTATCTGCAGGAAGGAAGCAGGAAAGTTGTCTCATCTACCGGGGGAAGGGACAGGACCAGTGCTCTTTGAAAGCAGGAGAGTTGATTTTTGTGATTTCTTTCACTACCTATACTTTCTGCCCTATCTCAGACCACAGCAAACTTCACCAGTGTGGCTCTACTTACTGGGCAAAGGTTATTTATTTCTATGAAAAGAAATCCAGCTGCCTCCTGCCCTGGAAACACGGGTTCTAGCAGAGCACCTCATTGCTCTACTGGATGCAAATCCTGGCAAGACCCCCCTCTTTTGCTGCTAGACACCTGTAGCAGCGATGTAAGGAAAAGAACGAAGGGCAAAGAAAATGAAGAAGGGAAAGAATCCAACAGTTTAATACTCCGATGCCCTCAAAGCAGCTCACCTGAGCCTCTCTCCTTCTTAGACCCTGCTATTATGTCCCAGGTGGCCTCAAACTCTGTGTGAACTGCTTGGGGCAGCGGTCTTTGATCTGCAAAGCTTCTTACCTATTTAATGTCTCACAGGTATGACGATACGTGAAACCGGAGAAGGTAGAGAGAGACGGCGAGACCACAGACAAGGCGCGCAGACCAAGGCACCCTGCAGTTCCTTCTACAGCATCGGACAGAGCAGCACTGAACCCCCGGCCCCAGTCACAGCACGGAGCTCGGCACAGCATGTCTGACTGGAGACGCTCTTACCCAGCAACGCCGTGCAGAGCTCTGTGTCAATGCGCCCGTCCTCAGTGAGGGCCCCGAACACCAGCCCGTCGGCCCCGTGCAGCTTGGCAAGGCGGATGTCGGCTTTCATCACTTCCACCTCCCGGTCCGAGTAGAGGAAATCTCCGCCACGAGGTCGGATCATCACGAACACGGGGACTCTCACGCACTGCTTCACCACCTGCAGGAGTTGGGGGGGCG